ACAAAAATTAAACAGTCTACAGTGTTTTTACAGCCTTTATAGTTAAAATATTTGTTTATCAAATAAAGTCTAATGTTACAACTAATCTGGGATCCCTTTAAAGAAATGTACTCAAGATCCCTTAAAACCTTTCATTTAGTCAAGTTACAACTGCAAACTTCCAAGTATTTTACCAGAATTTTATGTAACAGCAAAGCTGTTTTTGATAAATACAGCTGCCGTGTGAAGACTTCCGAGGTTATTAGTGATCAAACAGTWTCATGAAGACCAAGGAACACAGCAAGGCCAGGGGAGAAATGTTGACAAGTTTAAAGTGCCTCTGACATCAGATTTTTTAAATAAATATGAACGCATTAATAACATATTGCAAAAAAATTTTCATGCTGCTGACGTGAACAGTTGTTGAGATATTTGCATGTGAAGCAACAGGAAGTGATGTCAAAGGGGAATGACAGCATGTAAACAGAGCAAGGGCCGACAACAGACTGTAGAGAACAATTTTTTAAAGTTATTTTGAGTTGGAGAGTCAACGTGGAAATAATATTAAATTTAAAAACAAAWCAAAGACCAGGGAGTTTTCCTCTTTGATGTCACTTCCTGTTTCACTTTGGCTGAGCCAAGTTCAAAAGAAAATATGCCAGTTATGTGACAAAATGGGTAAAACCGTGTGTATTATGCCAAGTTTCTGACATATTTGTCGATGCTTTCTTTGACTTTTTGTAATTGAAGTGTATGCATGTCACAGGCGCTTTCAAGCAGGGTTAGATTATAAATGGTAAATGGTCTGAACTTGTACAGCACTTTATTAAGTCTCATATCAAACAGAGCTCCGTTCTACAGAAAAGCATTGTATTCACCAAAAGGAAAGAAAATTTGAGTTTTGTTTTTTCTTTGGTGAATGCAATGCACTTCTGTACTATTCAGTGCATCATCCAAAATAAAAAAAAAAACAACAAATGTTGATACGCTCTAAATCCGATCACTCTCCTTCCTCCAGGTTTCAAAGGCCGCGGCGGACCTGATGGCGTACTGCGACGCACACGCCTGCGACGACCCCCTGATCACCCCGGTGCCCACCTCAGAAAACCCCTTCAGGGAGAAGAAATTCTTCTGCGCTCTGCTTTGAAACAAATCAGGGACTGCTGCGGTAAAAAATAAAATAAAAGTACAGCTGTAATGTACACACATGTACAACGTGTACATGTACTTCCAACCTAAATAAGACATTAAGTGTACTATAGTAAGTTTGCGTCCAAAAAGCTGCCAATGTACAGTACAGACATCCAATATGAGACGTCGACAGCTAAGATTAATTGCAATTATGATAAAATTAGATCAATAAATTGTCGGAAACATTAAAGTTCCAGGAGGTTGAAAACACACTTCATGCTCAAATATACAAGTAACTACCAAACCAGAGTCAGTATTCTTCACAGTTACATAAAACTTTAACTTTTTTTAAACTAAACCCAAACTACTTCTATCTTTATTTACTCGTGTTTTGGCAGTTACCTGTATCTCAGCTCAACAGCTGTTTATAATTCAAGTCTAACAGGTTCGTGGATCATTTCTATAATATTGCTCGTGTGGATGTGGAGGCGTGTATGCATAGGTGCTACTGTGAAAACTCGAGCAACAAATACGAGCATTTGGTCACTTGCGAGTTCGATATTTTATAGTTTAACAGCACACAGACCCCTAAACCAACACATTCCTGGGTGTGGTTAGGGACAGTCAATGTAGAGTCAAAGCCATCGCAGCAAAATCAGCTAGAAGTAGAGCRTCGCGTGAACGTTTTTTATTGTTTAGAACAGAATACAGCGGTTTCATCCAACTTTTACAGATGTACTTTGGATTTAAGGGGTAGTTGTCAGACACCAAATCTCTCTTCCAGCTGAGGAAGTAATATTTTTAACTCTCTGTATCTACATTTAAAATAAAGATGTRTTCTGTTGATCATACCCAAAGAGAATAGAAACTAACCCTGATGTTTTTGGACATGATTACCCCCGTTTGAGTCATTGAAAAAGCTGTGTACCCTGCAAATATACAATCTGGAGCTTTGGGAGGAAACTATGATGGAAACGTAAAAGAAATAAAACCTCCCGTCAAAGGTTGTTTGTGTCCTGTGCTTTTATTTGATTCAAAAAAGAGAACATGTAGGGGGAAAAAAAACAAAGAAAAAGTTCTGATTTGACACCTTTTATTGTTTTATAATAACTAATATAAAAGCTGAAACAAAAACCTTTAAAAAAAATTACATCTTTGTGAAGCTGGTGACACTGGCGCCTCTGGATCGATCTGGACATGCGCTACATTGGGTTTTATTGTTACATGCAGGCACCGACACGCATTAAGGCATCTTATAACTCCAAGTGAAGCCGAGAACAAACATCTTTAAGAACGTGGCTTCTTCAGTTAAAAAAACAAAAGCGTTTTGATTTCCAAGACAGCTTTCTTTAATTACACTGTGTTTGGGTTTGTGGTATTATCTTTAACTATGTACATTTCCTTCCTCGGGTCTAAACGAGACGACAGGCAGATCAGATCGAGAGGTTTTTGTTAGCAAAGCCAAAAGTTAAAACAGCAGCTGACGTACATTTTTCTGTAAATGCCAGAGTCAACTCAGTCCAGGTTTAAGCTTCGTGCTACATTTCAGCAAAACACTTCAGTCTGCTTCCTAGAAAAATCAAACTGTGTGCATTGATTAGCTTAAATCAGCTTTGTCAGAAAGTACAAGTTGGACGCGTACAGGCGAGTCTAATGTATGATTAATGAAAAAGGGGAAGTTGTGCTGAATTTACAAGTCAAAACCTCACACAGGTGAAACATTTAAACAGAGAACCGATGAGTTTAAAATGTGTACTTTTAATAAACTGGAAAAAAATAAAAGCAGATTTAAGCTTTGAACAGGAGTATATCAATTTTTAACTTGAGCAACTTCTCTGGAAACAGTCCAGTTTCAGTTCATCAACACGTTTGTATTTGAACTACGTTAGCTACATTAGACTTTAGCCCCAGTGWCACAGACATGCTAACATGCTCAGTGGTGACTTAACTGTAACCTGCGGGTGAAGTCGTTAACATTTCAACAATTAGGTTTTAAAATGGGTCTTTCATAAAAGAGGGTTATTGACAGTGAACAAACAATTACTATAATTGAGTTTAAGATCGTCACTTTCACAAATTAGTGTATACAGTGTCTTATTGTGTGATGCAGCTGAACAGAGGTAATGTACATTTTGGACTTCAAAAGTAGAAAACGTAGGATTGGAATCAGGGGAGGTTTATAGGAAGGCGTCGCACCATTCTTTAAGACAGCCGTAGCAGTCACCTTGCTGTTTGGAGTTCGCGCCACACGTGTCTTTGAGCCAGTCTCGGAAAAGCTCCTCGTCTTTCTTCAGAACTAGAAACTGCCCGAGGACCACGTACGCCTGCAGAGAAGAGAAAAAAAAAAAAAAAACACAAATGCAACACGGTTATGTCACCGCCTGAAAGCAGCTGGACTTGAGGAACAAGTGTTGACACCTCAGGTTATGAAGATGTGGCAATCAAAGTCCAAAAAGGCGGAACTGAAAGGCAGGAAGGTTTTACTTTCATATTACTAAACTTGAATTAAGCTAGGCATATTTACTGATATTGTGTGTACTTTACTGCATTCTGCAACTAAAATAAGCACAAATTAACTCACTATCCAACCTCAATCTCCTTACAAACTGTTTTATCAAACAGTACAATGCATCACCTTATCAAAACCCCTTTCCTCCAGTCTTTTGCCGAGGACTTCGCCGATCCCTGCCAGAGCCATGACCGGTTTCTCCCCCATGGGCTCGGCCACGAAATCTTTGTGTTTCTGGGATGTTGACGACATGGCTGTCACAGAGGTGCTGATCTGAAACAAATGGATCACACAACCTTAAACGTGCTTATTTTAAATGGAAACCACTGGAGCTTTAATGGAAGCTTTCATTTTTTTACGAGCAGTAATTTGCTTGGATGCTTAAGTTTAGTCTCTGCAGGTCTTTCCAAGCCACCAACCATACAACACAAACATATAAACAAATGTTGGATGTGTTTCCTGTTTCTTTGCTGGCTTGCCTGTTAAAGCTTATAGTTTTCTAGTGAAATCCTCCAAGCTATTCCTAAAAACTCCGATGTGCTCAGGCATGAATGAAAAGGCTAAAGAGCACAGACGGCTCACTCCCAGTTGAAATGCCCGCGCAACATTTCAGTGCTAACAGTTTTAGCTCATCGACGCCATGATTAAACTACTGGAAACTGTCTTAAACGTCCCCATTAGGAAGCAACCACTTGCTAACACGTATTTTTAACAAATCCGTAATCTTTTAATAACACATAAACCTGCGCAGGGTTTGAAATGAGCGCTATCGCAACGATCATGATGTAGCTCTGATGTCAGGCTCCATTAGCTTCCAGACTGCGGCGCTTATTTCACTTAAATTATCGGCTTCGTTAAAAGCCAACGCGCCGTTTCTCCTGCGTCACGTTAAAGCTTTTAGCAGACACAAAATAAATCCGTGTTTAAACGAACCTCGTTACGCCAAGTCCAGGAGAAATTGCAAAAGAACGAGGCTGCCTATATATGGTTTGTTTCTAGACAAACACCGGCGAACGCACAGCGCGCTCCCGCCTTTGCGTCACCAAGGACGTAATTACGTAAGCACGTAAATAGGAGGGATTTCGTTCCCTGAACGTTGACTGGCAGGACAACGCGCCTGTACTGCCTGGGTGAGAAAACTGTATGTAGTCTTCATTTTTTGTCTGGGTAAACCTCTAAAATACAGTAAASTGCGACGAATTAATTAGTTGTCACAAGCTTTAGGTCTTACATTCAAAATAAAAATCAATGTGTATCAATTTTAAAYTAAAATACAAGTTAACCTCAAAAAGCACAAATATTTATTGGTAATAAGGAAAAACACCCTTATTTTCCTATCTAATTCTCATAAAGAACTGCAATAATGTAGAATGCATGCTTATTTATTTGATACTGCATACACATTGAATTCAGTTCAATCCAGTTTATATAGCGCCAAGTCACAACATACACTGTTTCAGGGCACTGTACATACTGTACATTGGCAGGCATTTCACTGCACATAAATKATTGAACTATAAAAAAACTGCTTACAATTTAATTAACATGTTTTGTAATTTCTTATCTCTTGTAATACATGAATTCATCTAAGCGGATGTGCTGGAAAAAGTAAAAGGAAAAACAAAAAATACGTATATATTTTAAACAGTAAAATGTAAATTATGTGCTAAAATATATAATTTAATGGAAAAAAACTGGAAATATAACTATGAAGGTCAATTATACTATAACACACGAGGTAAATTTCTCCTTTTTAAATTTAACTGGTGCATTTTAAGTGGTATTTATTTATTTGTCCATTTGTATATTTGTTTTTATTTCTAATAATGTCAGACTCATTTAATTTAATTTCAGTCCTCCATACAGCAGAAGTTAAACTGCAGTATTTGGCTTTTGCTGTGTGTGAAGTTGTGCTGCTCATTAATGACAGCTCTAATGCAGCCTGCACTCAGCTGTTGTGTGTATCTTCAGTCAGTCACATTTCAGCAGTGCTGCTGTGCTTTCTGCTCGGTGATTTTCAGTCAACACTACAGGGGTTCGAAAGTGAAACACCTGGTTTTAGACCATTAATTAAGAGTATCCCTCCTGGTTCGAAGATGGTATCTGTTGAACAAAACAATTCAACCACCACAATACACACAGAAAACACACAAAGTCATTCCGTTTATTTTTTGGCCAGTTAAAAACTGACTTTTATTAAAGAGAGTAATATTGAGTGGTTAATATGTGGTTACAACAATCAAACAATAAATGAGCTCTCACTACAATGCTATTCTACTTTTAAGCAGTTTGTCTAAAAGTATTGTCTAAGCAAAAGCAGATTATTTTATATACAATCAGGGTCAGTGTGTGTGTAAATGTGTGTGTGAATGTATGAGGGAAAGAATGGGAGAGACAAATAGAGAGACGACAGACAACAAATAAGTCTTTTAAGGTTCTAAATTATGTTTCAGTTGTGAGCTGTGGGCCTGGGACCTTTCAAAACAAGACCAGACGTTGAGCTCCAGGCAGATGCTCATCGGACAGCATAGACCGAGGCCTCTCTTGGTCAGACGAATGGGTAAAACAGATCCCTTTTCACGGACTCGGGACATATCAGCAGTGAGGCAGCGGTTCAGGGCCGACAGGTCCACCAGGAACTATGAAAAACTCACAGCAAAGATGATGGCTCCAGGTTTCAGGCGGAGCAGACAACACAAAAAATGGTAAGCCACCAAAAAGCCTATTTCCTTGTAAGACAGAGAAAAAATTATGCTGCAGAAGCAACTGGAAAACCTAGTGGTTCCCAGTACAGGAAAAAGACGAGGCAGCTGGGCAGACGACCGGCGTCAGAGCCCAGCAGGGCAGACAGACGAACAGGAAGTGACAGAAAGGTTTTAAAAACAGGACGGAGAACGTTATCTGCAGGTGTCTAAGCGTTTGGTGGTGTTCTCATGAGAACTGCGTGTGTGTGCGTGTCTTTGTGTGTGTCTTTGTGTGTGTCTTTGTGTGTGGAGACCCAAGGCTGAACATCAAAACCAGCACACCAACATCTATGAGCAGGACTAACTCAACTCTTAAAGACCATTAGGTTAATATTTCAATTAACTAATGATTAATTATGAACTGTTATTAGTAAACTAATAAAATGATCGAGTAATGCTTATTAAAAACAGAAGTGAACAGATAAAAATATAAGCATTGATTAAAATATATTGTTATCACTAATTCAAACTTCTAACATGTTCAAAACACAAATGCCAAGTTATAAAATAACTATTACTAGAGAGCCCTTAAAAAGAAAAGACAAAAGTCAAACACATTTTAACAGGTTTAAGCATTTGAATTATACATGTTTAAAGGACAGCAATAACAGACAGAGTGTTTGTTTTAATTTGTTTTTATCAGTGAAAGGTTTATTTTTTTGAAGCCCTCAGTGAGGACTGAAACTGTTCAGTCTGGGAGAGGGGAGCTTTGACCTCAGGCGGTCAAAGGTCAACCAGTGGTGAGATGAGGTGAGGTGAAATGGGGGTTACACTACAATGAAAATATTGATTTTTGAACACATTTTATTCACTCATTTGTAACAGTAAACCAAGACAAACAAGCTTATATTTGTAATACTTATCACAATTGTGCGCATTAATAATCTTCCACCTGATACTRGCATCCACATGGCAACTGCATCCATGTTGGGTAAACGTGATCAGGCTGCAGGAGGTTTTATCGTTGCAACTTTCACAGTAACTCAGGGTGAGTTGATCGGGTCAATAAGCTCACCATAAGCCTACAGCTCGGCTAGAATGTTGGAGGCGAGACTGCAGGTCAGCCCAGTGCCATCGGGCTCTACGCTCAGCTTCTTCACCACTCCGTCTTCCACCAGCATCGCATACCTGACACAAAATATGAAGAAAACACAGTGTTTGGATCCTTTATTTCTCAATAAAACGCTGTCAAAATAAACCAAAACAGCTGCACAGAGCAAATCATAAAGGAAGATTATGAAATAATTTCTCAACTTGCCCTACTTTTCTTATCAGGCATCACAGCCCTGTTCTCTGAGTCACAGCTTAGAGTAAATCAGGAGTGACTTCAGTAATGCAACTGGACAAGAAGTCTAACAATTGAAATTATGCAAAATTCCCTAAGGCAAAACAAAGGTTACCTCTTGGAGCGCTTGTTACCAAGAGCCTGCAAAATCTTATCACTGTCAAGAACAAGGTCGACCGCCTGGTGAGCAGAAACAAAACCACTAATGAGAACACAATCAAAGGACGTGAATCTAAACTGACACGCAGCAGACATTTGGTTTTACCTTAGTGAAGTTTCCAGCAGGATCAGCCAACATTCGAACCTGTAGAAAAAAAGATCAACWTTTTTGAGTGCTCTGTGTGGTCAATGAACCCCCCCATTGTTTCAGTGAAGTCTGAAGAGATTGCAGTGTGTATACCTTGCCATCTGCTCCGTGCTCTTTTCCCCAAGCAGCCATGACAAACGCATCGTTGACAGAAATGCATGCAACCTCCTGGATACCCTTATTCCTCAAGTCCTCAGCTTGCTGCACAAAGCCGGGCAGGTGGGTCTGAAAGCAACAAATAATAATAATAAAAGGTCATCTCTCACAGCAATCATTGTGTGCAGGGCCGGAGTGAGCGGTATATGAAAGAGTGTGGCTTCACCTTGGAGCAGCCAGGAGTGAACGCCCCAGGAACAGCAAACAGAATGCCCTTCTTCCCCTTGAAGAGCTGATCCATCATCACCTTGTTTCCCGGCTCGCCCTCCTGCACCTCCACTGCAGGAAGAGATTCTCCAACCTGACAATAATTGAAAAAAAGAGCGTGAATTAATTAGTTCTTAAAAAATAAATCATACGCTTTAAGTGCCATTGTTACTGTAATGAAGATTAGAATGTCAATACTATTTCTAATACGGGGGAAAATCTGCAGATTAAATCTTAGAAGTGCGCACTTCTGCAAACAGCCAATAGAGGGCGCCAAAACGCCACGTTTAGACTTTAGAAGTGACGCAGTTCTTAATGGATTTTACATTTTCCCTTATTCGGACGCTAAAATGAAGACAAAACACTTTGCACTTTTACACAACTATAATATTTAGGATAGTTTAAGTTGTTTTTAACGTCACGCAGGACGGCGGAAATTCAAAACACAAAGTTTTATTTAAACTCACGTTATGCAAACGTCAATACGGAAGTAGAAAATATAAAAACAGATTTAAATCAACAAAAATAATCCGGGATTTCGCTATAAAGCTCCACATTTATAGAACAGCTGAGTTGGATTTAAACGTAAGATACGTACAAATATAAAAAAATAAGCTAATTTTACTCTCGGCTCATGGATTTCATTGATAGTTTGCAAGAAACTATTTACTCGACAACAYATCTTCAAGTTAACTATTAGTTACCTGAATTGGCATTTTGGTGACTGGAGAGTAGTGGAGCAGCCTGCTGAAGCCTTGGACGACTCGTGTGGTTCTGAGGACAGAGCCTGTGATGGAATGCATTGTTGTTGTTTGCACAACACCGGTGTTGTGCAAAATTCAGTTCCCCTGTGAAAATCTGTTCCCCCTACTGGTTAACCAGAGAATCACTGGTCCAGCTTTAACGCCGGACCAGTCCCAACACTGGGGGGGAACAGATGTTTCTCAGGGGAACTGAATTTCGCACAACATGTGGGCAGCAACTGAAACCTGATATTTGAGTTGCGCAATAAAAAAAACGTGACAGAAAATAAGATAGCAAGAAAAAAAAATAGTTTCAAAGAAAATACCTTTTTAAATAAAAATTTCCAGCTTAGATCTAATAAATACTATATTTTAGCACATTATTTACATTTTGCTGTTATTTAAAAACAGTTTTTTACCCCCTGTACATATATTTATGTCTCTTAAATGACATTTTAAGATTTTAATTTAAGAAACAAAAATGCATGTACAAGGAAAAACATTTTTTTAAAACAGTAAAATGTAATATGTGAGCTAAAATACATAATTTAATGGAGCAAACCTGGGAAAAATAAATATGGTAAATTAAATTCTAATACATGAGGTTAAGTTCTCCTTTTTAAATTTAATTGGTGCATTTATAACAAAAAGTAGTATACTTGAAGTTCATTTTAATAAGTGGTATAAGTTTAAGTATATCATGTATATTAGGCACCATGTACTTGTAGTGTACTTGAAAGTATATTGATTTAATACTTGTTCGTACTAAACTTGGACGTTTTAGTTTATATA